GCGGGGTATAAATCCAATCTCTTCTTCTTCTCCTTCTCTAAATTTTAATTTTATTTATTTATTTATTTATTTATTTATTTATGCAGTTTCTACCCCCGCCCTCCCCGCGAACAGGCTCAGGGCGGCTTAAAGTGGCTGGCAGCGTGCAATTTAGAGAACTATCCTGGTAAAAGCTTTCTACTGGCTAGATGGCTTTTTCTTTCTGCACTGAGAACTTCAGCCCCGCCAGAAAAGAGTTTGCCCCACAAGCCACGAAATCCTGGCTACCGGCCTGATCTTTTTTTAAGACGGAGTCTGGAGCTGAGGACGTGCAAGTAATGTGAGGCGACTCCTCCATTAATCATGCGGAAGCCATAGCTGGTGGGAGTCAACCGCAGAGCCTCCCCCCCCCCCAAGCACCTAAGGGGCACCCTTGCTGATAATCTGGCCTTACTAATGACCCAAATAATGAAGACAATGAGAAATGGGCCCGCCCCAGCCATTTCCTCCTTATCTTAAGTGCTGAAGATTTCTCCCTCTACTCTATCATGTAAAGTACTCAGTTGTCCGCCTGCCTATCTAAGCTCTCCGTCTCCCTAAAGGAACACGTCTCCTTGGTACTTTTACCTGTAATGGAAAAGAAGAAAAAAACCCCTCCGCAATGTAAAAAGTAAAGGTTTCCCTTGCTCGAAAGCCAGTCGAATCCGACTCTAGGGTTGCAGTGCTCATCTCCATTTCAAAGCTGAAGAGCCAGCGCTGTCCGAAGACGTTTCCGTGGTCATGTGGCCGGCATGACTGAACACCAAGGCGCACGGAACACTGTGACCTTCCCACTGAAGTGGTACCTATTTATCTCCTTGCAGTTTCTTGCTTTCGAACTGCTAGGTTGGCAGGAGCTGGAACTAGAGACGGGAGCCCACTCCGTCATGCGGCAACCCAGGTCTCGAACTGCTGAACTACCGACCTTCCACAGCCTGCAGTTCGGCGTCTTAACCACTTGAGCCACCGCAGCTCCACAATGTACACACACACACACACACACACACACAAAAACCCTTTCAAATTAGCTCATCTCCGGAGAGATGTTTTTGTACCTCCCACATTCCAATGCCAACATCTTTCCCCCTCCTCAGTCTTAGCAAAAATGTATAAAAGGTCATCCCTCAATCTATAGAACTGGTAGCAGGTTTTGGATCCCAGTCTGTTACCCCAACTGTGTAGTTGGCGTTTCTACTTTTCCAGCCCATTCTGCCGCACTTCTCCAGAGCCGCCCAGCTGTCTTTGATTACCTTTCATTTGATTACCTTTTGATTACCTTTCATTTGATTAGAAGAGGAGGAGATTGGATTTATACCCTGCCCTTCACTACCCAAAGGAGTCTCAGAGCGGCTGACAAACTCCTTTCCCTTCCCCTCCCCACCACAGACACCCTGTGAGGTAGGTGGGGCTGAGAGAGCTCTCTCAAGAACTGCTCTTTCAAGAGCAGCTCTGAGAGAACTTGTGACTGACCCAAGGTCACACCAGCAGCTGCATGTGGAGGAGTGGAGAAGAAGAAGAAGAGGAGATTGGATTTCTGCCCCGCCCTTCACTACCCAAAGGAGTCTCAGAGCGGCTTACAAACGCCTTTCCCTCCCCCTCCCCACAACAGGACACCCTGTGAGGTAGGTGGGGCTGAGAGAGCTCTGACAGAAACGGCTCTTTTTCAAGAACAGCTCTGCCAGAAGTATGGCTTGCCCAAGGTCATCCAGCAGCTGCAAGTGGAGGAGTTGGGGAATCAAACCTGGTTCTCCCAGATTAGAGTCCGCACACTTAACCACGACACCAAGCTGCTCTCACACTCTGCCCCCAGGGTTTGGCAGCCAGATTACCTTTCATTTTCTCCCTTAGTAGCAGGGAGTCAGGGGAAGGATTTAAACTGTGTTTGTATGTCACGTGTGCATTTATTCCCTTTCTGTAGCACCTCTGTTTTCATGTACCTGACTTAACCTGGTTCTCTTTCTATTAATTTAATAAATTTAATTTCTTGTTTAAGATGCTTATCCTTCTCCATTTGTTCTGAGTGTCAGTCTGTAGCTCAACTCCCGTATACATAGGTTACAGTCTCGGCAATTAATACCCCACAACACACGTGTTTCTCTTTGACAGTAAAGGGTGTTTTTGCTCGCTTCAAGGGCTGCATGTGTATTGGTGCTTTGGGTAACAGGGTCTGATTCAGTATGTGTGAGAAGGTCCCAGGTTCAATCCCCAGCAGCATCTCCAGCTAAAAAGGACCAGGTAGGAGTGACAGACTTCACGTTCCTGGGATCCCAAGATCACCGCAGACGGTGACAGCAGCCATGAAATTAAAGGACGCCTGCTCCTTGGGAGGAAAGCGATGGCGAACCTAAACAGCATGATAAAAAGTAGAGACATCACCCTGCCAACAAAAGTCCGCATGGTCAAAGCAATGGTACTCCCAGTAGTCATGTATGGCTGCGAGAAGAGTTGGACTATAAGGACGGCCGAGCGACGAAGAATAGATTCTTTTGAACTATGGTGCTGGAGAAGACTCTTGAGAGTCCCCTGGACTGCAAGAAGATCAAATCAGTCAATCCTAAAAGAAATGAACCCTGGAAGGCCAGATAATGAAACTGAAGCTCAAAGACCTTGGCCACCAAATGAGAAGGGAGCACTCCCTGGAGAAGACCCTGATGCTGGGAAAGACTGAAGGTCAAAGAAGACGGGGACGGCAAAGGGTGAGATGGTTAGACAGTGTCATCGATGCAACGAACATGAAATTGAGCCAACTTCAAAGGATGGCAAAAGACAGGAAGGCCTGGCGTGATCTGGTCCACGGGGTCGCGAAGAGTCGGACTCGACTGTGGGACTGAACAACAACAACAACAAAAGGAGGTGATGGGAAAGACCTTCGCCTGAGACCCTGGAGAGCCACTGCCAGTCTCAGTAGACAACAGTGACCTTGAGGAACCAAGGGTCTGTTTCAGGATAAGGCAGCTTCATGTGCTCAGTTATTGGAGAGGGGCTGTGGCTCAGTGGCAGAGCGTCTGCTTGGCATGCAGAAGGTCCCAGGTTCAGTCCCCGGCATCTCCAGTTAAAAGGACCAGGCAGGAAGTGATGGGAAAGACCTCCACCTGAGACCCTGGAGAGCTGTAAAGAGGGGCTGTGACTCATTGGCAGAGCCTCTGCTTGGCATGCAGAAGGTCCCAGGTTCAATCCCTGGCATCTCCTGTTAAAAAGGACCAGGCAGGAGGTGATGGGAAAGACCTCTGCCTGAGACCCTGGAGAGCTGTAAAGAGGGGCTGTGGCTCAGTGGCAGAGCCTCTGCTTGGAATGCAGAAGGTCCCCGGTTCACTCCCCAGCATCTCCAGTTAAAAAGGACCAGGCAGGAGGTGATGGGAAAGACCTCAGCCTGAGACCCTGGAGAGCCACTGCCAGTCTGAGTCAACAATACCCACTTTGATGGACCGAGGGTCTGATTTATTATAAGGCAGATTAATGGGTAATGCGACATCGCTGGGACAAAACTGGGACAAAAAGAGGGGGGGGGGACTGAACCCAGAAACCTGGGATCCAGAACCTGAAAAGCTTAGTCAAGTAGAAAAGAGGGCCAACAATAAAAGCTTAATATGTATAATATATAAAAAGATACATGTATTTATTAACAAAGGATTTTAAAATATATAAGGGCCCAATCACACCCCACGTAAAAATACCTGAATCTAACACACAAGGGCTAATGGACTTGACCTGACGCGTTTCGACCCGTATAGGCCTTCTTCAGAGGTCAAACACAATGAGGAACAAATTGGCTTATATAATAGTACAGTCCAATCATACAGATATAAGATAGAAATACAAGAAGGACCAGAAAAGAATTCTTCCAAAATGAAACCACTGGACACAGAATCAAAGTACAAATGAGGCCTCCAAGTGGTGTTTCACTGGTAATAATTTCTGGTCCTGAAAGTGCCTTCCTATGATTGTGTCGCCAAAGTGTCCTCAGTAGAATTGTCCTTGGGCAAAGAGCAGTTAATAAATAAAGGTTCCCTTGCTCGAAAGCCAGTCGAATCCGACTCTAGGGTTGCGGTGCTCATCTCCGTTTCAAAGCCAAAGAGCCAGCGCTGTCCGAAGACGTTTCCGTGGTCATGTGGCCGGCATGACTAAACACCAAGGCGCACGGAACGCTGTTCCCTTCCCACCGAAGTGGTACCTATTTATCTACTTGCAATTTCTTGCTTTCGAACTGCTAGGTTGGCAGGAGCCAACTAGAGACGGGAGCTCACTCCGTCATGCGGCACACTCGGGTCTCGAACTGCTGAACTACCGACCTTCCACAGCCTGCAGTTCAGCGTCTTAACCACTTGAGCCACCGCAGTATACATACTAAGCTTTCAATGTGACATCTCCACAGGCAAAACTGCCTTACACACATGCAAACTGTTCTCTGTTTAGCCCTGTACGGTCTGCTTGGATTGGCAACGGCCACGTGAGATGGCAGGGGCCGTGGCTCAGTGGCAGAGCCCTGCTGGGCGTGCAGGAAGGATCAGGTTCAAGCCAGAAAAGGACTGCAGGCAGCAAGGGAGGTGAAAGATCTCAGCCTGAGAGCAGCTGCCAGTCAGAGTAGACAATACTGACCTAGACAGACCTGACTTGGTCGAAGGCAGTTCACTGTGTTAACTGAAGGTGGGACTTCCTACATTCAAGGCAGGTGCTTGGTTATGGCGGAACCCCGACTCCCCCCCCCAAAGAACAATGCCCCCCAAACCAGACTTACGGGGCTGAACGTCAGTCGCTCTGAACTGACCGGCTAACAACGAGGACAGCCCAACAAACCTGTGACAGATGGGCAGAGGTATCCCACCCCCGTCTCCAAAAAGCAACCTGTGTGGTTCTCCCCTCCTCTGTCAGACCCTCACAACAACCATGCAAGGTAGCACTCCGACTGTTGGGCCATGCTGCTTTGCCAGCCCTGCCTCCCGAGCTCTCCCCCTCAGCCATCCGTTTGGCGGATCCCAGCTTACCAGCAGCGAGACCACCGTGCTGGAGTAGAAGGCCAAGTCCTCGATGATCTCGGTGCGCCGGTTGGCTCCGATGCGCAAGGATCGGCTGTGGACTTCCTCCGGCAGTACCGTCAGGATCTCCAGCAAGAAAGGCAGCGATGTCACGTCGTTATTGTACCTGGAGATCCAGGAGGGGAGGAAGGGGAGACGTGAAAAGGCCCAGAAGTGGGACTCCGCAGGGTGGGCAGATGGCACTGCCAAGCAGTGTTCCCTCTAAGCTGAGTGAGTGTGAGCCAGATCACCATTTTTCAGCCTTTGGCGCACACGTATTTGTCTCCACTCAGGAAGGAGGGCTCCGGAGCAGTGTTCCCTCTAAGCTGAGTTAGTGTGAGCTGGCTCACAGTTTTTTAGCCTTCAGCTCATACATTTTTGTCTCAGCTCAGGAAGGAGGGCTCCAGGACAAACTAACTTATGCAGCAGCCAAATGGCTGGCTCACAACTTTCATGCCAGTAGCTCAAAGTAGAATTTCTGCTTACAAGACTCCACTGGACTCCACTGCTTAGAGGGAGCATTGCTGTCAAGGGAGTGCCAGAAGACCACAGCAAGGAAAGAAGGGAAGCGACCCTGGATAAGACGGAGGGGCCACCGAGCCGGACACCCAGGTTCCCACAGGGGCCAGCGGCCGGCAGCATAAATTTAAGTTTTGCTTCCTTCTCTTTTCTGGGCAAGAGCAAACACAGCCCAAAGACCCCGTTTCCCCTCTAGGGTACCTGAGACGCACAGAGCACATTTATTTATTTATTTTATTTTTATCCCGCCCATCCGGCCTAGGCTGGCTCTGGGCGGCTCGGAACAGAATAAAAACTCACACAATACAAAAACACCAATTCATTCCACTAATACAGTTCCTTGTAAAATAAGACGGCAATATAAAAACAGTATTAAAAATCAAAACATAGTGTTGAGGTGCTAGCGGGATTCCAATTTTTGCTTTAATTCCATTGGCCTGCTTCAGTTAGGGGAAACTAGGGCCCCAGAGCTTTGCATCTGCTTTTGAAGGGCCCAAAACGTCGGCCTGCTCCCCCCCACCTCCATTTCAAAGGCGGCAGACTATTTTCGGTTGCGTGGGCATTCTGTTCCAACTCATCCACTTAGACTAGGGGCCCCCAACCTTTTTGAGCCTTAAGAATTCGAACATAGCATGGTGGGTGCGGGCACAAAAGGGCTGCCACAGCTTACCTTCAGTCATACAGTTATTGTGTTGGCAGCGGCTGCTGAAGCAACTTTTTTCTTTTAAAAAAAACTGCAGTCAATTATCTCTCCAGTGGCCGATCAGAAGGCATGCTGCGCAAAAGCCCCACGTGGCCCGGCCCACCTGGCAGGGGCCAGGAAAGGTGTGGGCAGGTGCCACAGGCACCACATTGGGGACCAGCGTTCCATCTAAGCTGAATCAGTGTGAGCTAGCTCACAGGTGTCTAGCCTCCGGCTCACACACTTTGGTCTTCCATGGTGGGTGCGGGCACAAAAGGGCTGCCACAGCTTACCTTCAGTCATACGGTATTGTGTTGGCAGCTGCTGCTGAAGCAACTTTTTTTCAAAAAAAAAATAATCTGCAGTCAATTAATTCTCCAGTGGCCGATCGGAAGGCTTGCTGCGCAAAAGCCCCTTGTGGGACGGCCCACCTGTCAGGGGCCAGGAAAGGTGTTGGCAGGTGCCACGGGCACCATGCTGGGGACCAGCGTTCCCTCTAAGCTGAATCAGTGTGAGCTAGCTCACAGGTTTCTAGCCTCCGGCTCACACGTTTCTCGTCTCGGCTCAGGAAGGACGGCTCCAGAGAAAACTAATTTATGCGGCAGACGCAGCCCTTCCAAGAGGCCATCTGCAGGGCGAGGTCTGCTATTGCTAATGCAAGCTGCACCGGGGAGAAGGAAAGAGCGGTGGGTTCAGACACGCCCGTTCACCAGGAAGAGGTCCGTCCCCTCCTCTCTGCCCCCCCAAACCACGAAACATGCCCCCCCCCGATACTACCGATGTGCTTTCAGAAGGACACCGCAAGGGAATATGCTGGCCCGCGGCTACGACAGTGGGGGGACTACGGGCCCCACTTGGCACACAGATACACAGGAAGTACCAGCGCCTGCCCGAGCTGCCGTGTGGACGCAGCCCTTCCAAGAGGCCATCTGCAGGGCGAGGTCTGCTATTGCTAATGCAAGCTGAACCGGGGAGAAGGAAAGAGCGGTGGGTTCAGACACACCCGTTCATCAAGAAGAGGCCCGTCCCCTCCTCCCTGCCCCCCAAAAAACCATGAAACATGCCCCCCCAATACTACCGATGTGCTTTCAGAAAGACACTGCAAGGGAATATGCTGGCCCACGGCTACGACAGTGGGGGGACTCTGGGCCCCACTCGGCACGCAACTACACAGGAAGTACCAGCGCCTGCCCGAGCTGCCAGCAAACAGAAGCAGAGACTCGCTGCCGACGTCTCACTTTAAAGGGCAGCCCCGCTGGATTAGACGAAGGAAGTCCCTAATAGCCCAACGTCTCACTCCCCAGAGTGACCGGCTATTTATTTATTTATAATCAGGGCTATTTTGGGGCAGGAACGCACAGGAACGGAGTTGGCCTATTATGCTAATGAGTGCCTGCTGGGCTTTTTCTACAAAAAAATGCCCTGTTTTTAATAATAATAAAGTTTTATTTACGGCCGAAGCCAGCGGTTAACGTTTGAAACACTACAAACTTAGTAGTAAAAAACACCTATGAATACAGGTAAAAAGGCTTGACAGAACAGTAAAATGCATTATAAAACACATAATGAATTCCTTAGGAGGTAGACGGTTAACAATTGTTGTCGAAGGCTTTCACGGCCGGAGTTCATTAGTTGCTGTAGATTTTCCGGGTTGTGTGGCTGTGGTCTTGGCACTGTAGAACCTGACGCTTCGCCAGTAGCTGTGACTGGCATCCTCCATATCCAATCCGTATACAATCCATATACAAAAGAACCTCCTCAGGAAAGCTCCTCCGGGTTCAGCTTGTTCACAGCCTGGGGAACTCCTACAAGATAATGACTCAGCCCTATCCCACCTTCCTGAGTAGATGTAAATTACCTGCCTACCATTTTTCTTCTCACCTTGACACAGAGAGTCCTCCCTCTTTCTGTGTGATACCTCTGAGGATGCCAGTCACAGCTACTGGCGAACCGTCAGGTTCTACAATGCCAAGACCACGGCCACAAATCCCGGAAAATCTACAGCAACTAATGATTAACATTTAGCTTGCTGTGTTCTTATTGATTTTCTAATTCTTGAAACACTCCATCCAAATCTAGCCACTTGGTGTGTTACCCCCGAGTGCCTATCTGAGAGGAGGTTTTTCATAATACGGGCTCTTTGCCTACTGGTTAGAGGTAAGAACTTGGGGAATGAAAGAGATTCCCGGAGATTATTATAGGCCTCACAGTTGAACATAACATGTTCTAGATTTTCAGTGCCTACATTACAGCAGGGGCATATGTGTTCCCCGAATGGGATTTTCTTATACTTTCCCTCTGTATTCGCTAAGGGACTATTTATTTATTTATCTATATTTTCCATTTATATACCGCCCTTCCCTGAGTTCACAGGTCCTCAGGGCGGTTGATGACAACAACAAAAATACAATATAAAACCAAGAATAAAACAGTTACGTTACAAGTTAAAAGAACATAGAATGGTGCCAAAGTCGATAAAATATGTATTGCTGTCCAGTGTTCCCTCTAAGCTGAGTTAGTGTGAGCTAGATCACAGTTTTTTAGCCTCCGGCTCACACATTTTTTGTCTTCGCTCAGGAAGGAGGGCTCCGGAGTAAACTAATTGATGCAGCGGCCAAATCGCTCGCTCACAACTTTCAATGCCTTTGCTCACAAAGTAGAATTTTTGCTCACAAGACTCCACAGCTTAGAGGGAGCGTTGTTGCTGTCCTGCAAGTAGGAAAAAGGGGGGGGGAGATGCCAGGTAAGACGATACCTGTTGCTGTCCTC